AAACTAGGAGTCCCTGGTCTAGGTGATTGCTGCAAAAGCAGCCAATGGCAAGATCGTCCTCACACAAAAGTTTCTGTCTCTCAGGATGCAGCCAACAGACATATGCCAAGGCATTCCTCCTCTACTCAGTTTCCCCTGAACTACAACTGTCTTCCAGGCTAGTCCAGTCTTCATGGAACAAAGGAGAGCACCAAGTGAAGATAGTTTTAGTTCAAGAGAAACCGAGTAGAGGAGAAATGCCATGGTATAATGCCATCATGTTCTGTTGGCTGTATCACGAGAGACAGAAACTTTTGTGTGAGGATGATTTTGCCATTGGCTGCTTTTGCAGCAAATACCTAGACCAGGGACTCTCAGTTCTCGTTAGCGTTCTTGGAGAGGTCCAGCAGGTGGATGAACTTGTTGCCCCAAGTCCCAAGCCGATCACAGAAAGAGCCCTTCTATTCTTGGTGTTCCACAAATGAAGTAGCTACCGAGCCATGTAAGATTTGACTACAACCATGGCTCGGTAGCTACTTCATTGCGTTTGGGTGGTTATATACATGACTCTTGACGGTTGGCTGATGTGGCTAGTGACGTGGACCTGTAGTGTTGCTTTTTTTTTTTTTTTTTTTTCTCTCTTCGAACTGTTTTCTATTTCTTTTTTCTCTGTGTTCTCTCTCTTCTAACCCGCCTTTGCTTTCTTTCTCGTGTTCTTGATGGTTTGTCTGTCTTAGCTCAAAGACGTGGTTTCGAAGGTCTCGGGGCTTAGTACAGGCAATGCAGGCCATGCGCTGGATCAAATGGGAAGACTTTCGAGCGATTGGATGCTGAGGATCAATGGATCCACAAGCCTGGAATGCTCGTGAAGGAGAATTATCCGAGCAGTGCTGACGATCAATCCATCACCGAGTAGTCTAAGCTTCGCAAATCTTCGTGTCGGGCCGAGAACTGTGAGGACGTATCAATCCACCCGGAAAGATCAAGTAGCTTCAGAGGTTTCTTTTTTTCTTTTTTCTCTCTTGCTGGATTGCACTCCTCGATAATTCTCTAGGGTTTTAAGGATTAGGTCTAGGTAGAAAGCGAGCAAATGGCGCTCGCGCTGTTCTTCGCCCCAGATCTTCCTCCTCTGGCAGCGATCGCAGCGGCGGCAGTGGGCGGCGTAACGATCGATCCGGTTTCTAGCCTCCCTGAGGGATCCAAGCCGCAGCTAGCGCTGGAATCCGGGTAAGGGTTTAAGAAAGATTGCGTGCCGATCGTTTTTGATAGATTTCTTCCAATGCAGTGACAGGCTACTGGGATTGAACACGCTGGTGCGATTTTTCGGGCGATTGAGCTCGCTACACGGATTCTATGGCGTCGATCCGGTCACTGCTTCTCAGGTAGCCACATTCTTTGGCTCACGGCTTTAGAACACTTTTTTCTGATCCCAGGTAGACGAATGGCTGGACTATTCACCGAAGTTTAGCGCTGGTGCCGAGTTTGAGGAGTGTTGCCACTACGCCAATTCCTATCTAGCGATGCGTACCTTCCTGGTGGGATACACTACCACTGTCGCGGATATCACGATCTGGTCATCTCTCGCTGGTAATCTTCGAAGGAAAACTTTGAGGCACTGAGGAATTTTATCTTCCATTTTGTTGCAGGTGGAGGCAAGAGGTGGGAGAGTATGAAGAAGTCTGCAAAGTTCCCACATCTTTCACGCTGGTATGACGCCATTTCAGTCGATCGTCCGATACTCCAGGAACTAGCTTCCAAGTACGTTGGGAAAAGGGGACTGGGAAGGCCCGTCTCTGTTGAAGCGAAGCCAGTAGGAGCCGCAGCGGCTGGAGCTCCAAAGAAAGGGAAAGCCGACGTCCAGCAGACTGAGAAGGCCCAGAAGGTCGAAGGCTCGTTCGAGATATCTTTGCCGGGTGCCGAGATGGGAAAGGTGTGCACTCGTTTTCCACCGGAGCCTAGCGGCTTTCTCCACATCGGGCATGCGAAGGCTGCGTTTCTCAACGAGTATTTCGCGCGGAAGTACGGAGGGAAGCTGATTGTGCGGTTTGACGACACGAATCCGAGCAAGGAGAAAGACGAGTTCGTGACGAATATAATGCAGGACCTGGAGACTCTAGAGATCAAGCCAGACGAGGTCACGTACACGTCCGACTACTTTCCCGCTCTAATGGAAATGGCAGAGAAGCTGATCAAGGAAGGGAAAGCCTATGTCGACGACACTCCCAGGGAGGTGATGCAGAAGGAAAGGATGGACGGGATCGAGTCGAAGCGCAGGAATCAGAATGTGGAAGAGAACTTGGCGTTATGGAAGGAGATGGTGGCAGGGACGAAAAGGGGCCTGAGTTGCTGCTTGAGGGGAAAACTCGACATGCAAGCACTGAACAAGACGCTGAGAGACCCTGTGTACTACAGGTGCAACCCGGAGGAACACCACAGGGTGGGCTCGAAGTACAAGGTGTATCCAACGTATGACTTCGCATGCCCGTACGTGGACAGCACCGAAGGAGTCACTCATGCGCTTCGATCCAGCGAATATCACGACAGGAACGAGCAGTATTACAGAATCCTCGCGGACATGGGTGTAAGACCGGTCCATACGTGGGACTTCAGCCGTCTCAACTTCGTCTATACACTTCTGAGCAAGCGGAAGCTGCAGTGGTTTGTGAGCCAGGGCCTCGTGGAAGGCTGGGACGATCCGCGCTTTCCTACAGTGCAGGGCATGCGAAGGCGTGGCCTGACTGTTGAGGCACTGCGCCGCTTCATCCTTTCACAGGTAAGAAAAATCTCTGGGAACTATTGAGTTTCTAACGATCCTCGTGTTCCTTTCCTCCAGGGCGCGTCAAAGAATCTGAACCTGATGGAGTGGGACAAGCTATGGACGATCAACAAGCAGATTATCGACCCGGTTTGCCCGAGGCACACGGCGGTCTTGAAGGATGGAAAGGTTCCACTCACTTTGCGAGACGGACCAGAGACGCCATTCATCCGGATCATACCTCGGCACAAGAAGTTCGCGGGAGCAGGCAAGAAGGCTACCGTTTTTGCGAACACCATCTTAATCGACAAAGCCGATGCGGAAGCAATTCACGAGGGGGAGGAGGTGACACTCATGGACTGGGAAACACCATCATCGAGAAGATCGACAGGGAGGGGGACAAAGTCACTGGCTTGTCCGGGGTGCTGCATCTCGAGGGATCGGTGAAGACCACCAAGCTCAAGCTGACATGGCTCGCGGATCATCCGGAGCTCGTGGATCTCAACCTCGTTGAGCTTGACTACCTTATCAGAAAAGAGAAGGTAATTTTTTTTCCTTGGTTTTGGCTCTGGATAAATGTCGTTTTCTTTCAGATGGAGGAGGAGGACGAGCTGCTTAATGTGTTGAACCCGGTCACTAAAATCGAGGTGGCAGCGGTGGGCGATTCCAACATGCGAAACCTCGCCAAGGGGGAGATTATTCAGCTGGAGAGGAAGGGGTACTTCATCTGTGACGCGCCGTACGTCCGATCGACGAGTCCGATTGTGCTCATCAGCATACCAGACGGGCGCCAGCGCCCTCGACAGTAGTCCAAGCAAACGTGACAAACGTAAGAGTATTGGTTTACAATTGCTCACATATCGAGAAGGAGGCTATGTCGTCAGGCAGCGATCTTGTGGTGGATTTAAGGTTGACCCTTGCTGGGAGCTGTTCGACGAGTAAGAGGTTCTTTCCAGGTCGCCGGTTGGATGGAATAGTATTTCGCTTCACAGACTGGATGCGTTTTTTTGTAGTTTTTTCTTCCTTGTTTGACCACACCAGTCAATGAAGTCAAAGTAAAGTCAATGGAAAGTCAATAAAGTTTCTGCAAAGATTATTGACCTTGATTGACTAGCATTGACTTTTGCTTTGTCACCATCACCCTCGAAGTGGAACCCCAGACATGGATTCCACGTGTTTGCGAAGATCACCAAGCAAACAAGAATTTCACCCTCAGGATTTTTAAGGTTTTAGATGTGGAGATGTTCTATTAATGTGTAACTTCGAATACTTGTGTGGGAAGGGCGGCCAGAAGCGGCCAGCAGATCTTCCCACAATGTTCTTCAAAGGAAGAGGTCCCCTGCGTTGAGCAAAGCACACGTAAAAAGAGAAAACACCAAAAGAATGGATTTGAGCTCCCACCAGACATGCGAGTCATTGCTGAGGTTGCGATTGTCACCCAAGACGAACACACACCCCTTGGGGACTTGCTGACAAAACAAAAGCCATTCATGAGCTTGGTGTATGATTTCTTTCTTCGACTTACCCTTCGCTTCATCTCGTACTTGTGTGGTTCCAGAATGAAGGCTTCTTCTCTGCAAGCTCCATTCACTAGCAGTGAGCCATCAGAAACCTGCGAATCAAGAGACAAGTAGAAATCTTTACTTCCCACTTTGATTTGCACATACCTCCACGAAATCTCCAGGCATTGCAACAATCCTCTTGACAAAAACTGCTCTAGAGCCAAAATCCTGTCAGCGAACTTTTCTTTTGTCGTCTGGAAAGAAAGAAGAAAAGATCATGTACCTCGATCAGCGCAGCAGGGCCTTTGAACAAAACAATTTCGTTCACCTCTGGTTTCCTAAAACGATAAGTTACCTGCGGTAAAAAAGAAACCATCCATGAACAAACGCAAGGAACAGGTGAAAGAGAATAAACGCAAGAACGAAAGAGAAAGACCATGCAAAGAGCAAGTGAAAGAAAAAAAAAAGAGAAGAGAGTACCTTGTCGACAAAAATGTGATCTCCAACGTCTAGGCTGGGGAACATGGACAGCGATTGGATTCGCCTTGGCTCCGCAACCAGGCGCCTCACAGCGAATGCCAGCAGCAGCGCCACGAGGAAACACTTGGTCTCGTCAGTCCAAAATCTTTTCATCCAAACGAAGCGCTTGCCTGGCACGGAGAAATCTTTCGCTCCATCATCATCGTCGTCGTCGAAATGTACCCGACCCCTCTCTGCACGACAGCGGCAGCACATACGAATCCCCCGCGATCGTGCATTCCTGTCGCTGCTGTGAAGCACGGAGAGCTGGAGCTGGAGCTGCGCGCCAACACGAAATATCATCGCCATCGCTGCCAAGAACCCTAAAAACACGAATCTAGGGTTTGGGAGCAAGGATGAATGCCGCGACTGCGCTCCACAAGGCGGCAAATGCGATGGCGATCATCGTGCCAGCGGCGGCCATAGCAGCCTACATCAATCTCCCAGCTCCAGAGAAGAAGGTGCCATCATCATCCAAGAAGTAAGCTCACAAATGGGGAGAACGAGGAATTTTAGGGAATCTTTTGTGGAATCTCTCTATCAATCAAATCGCTATTCGATCTTTTAATCAATTGCTTATGTCTATAATCTAAACTTCCGTACCAAGTGGCCACAAACTGGGAAATGTGGCCACCGCCGTGAGATACATTCTGCAAATTTGTGGCTGTGGACGCCCCGGATCAAAGCCAGCCAATAGGCAGCGTGCTCCCCTATCCGGTCAGGATTCCATCCACCTAAACAAGCTTTTCTCTACTCCATACTATCCTTCCTCCATAGCTTAGCTTGCAAAGTTCTTTGCGAAACATACACACACCGCAAATCCCACATTGCTATGGCGACTGCGGTGTGTGCTTCCTCCACCATCGCTGTAGCACCCTCTTCAAGGTAAGCAAGAGAGAAGAAGAGATCTAAGCTCTGTAGCAAAAGTCTAGTAGACGTGCGTACCTCTTCCCTGGATGGTTTGAAACTTCCATTCTTTTTGTGACACCAGCGCTCAAAAGAAGCCGAACGAGATCGTCTCCGCAAAGACCACCTTCCTCGGCGGGCGACCACTGAGGAACAAGGCTCACGTCGCAAAGGCAGCCAAAGCGGTCTTCTCTGTGACAGCCGCGGCAGCGACCGAGAGACCCCTGTGGTTCCCTGGAAGCACTCCTCCGGCCTGGTTAGACGGAAGGTCAGTGACAACTTCGATTGATAAGTATGAGAGCAAGGAACTTACCGCTTTGCTGTCATCCCTGTGATGCAGCCTGCCAGCAGACTTTGGATTCGATCCTCTCGGCCTTGGTAAGATCTCTGGAAGTGGTGTTCTGACTTGATAAGCTTGGGAACTCCTCGTCAGGCTCGGAACCGGAACTTCTCAAGTGGTTCGTCCAGTCGGAGATTGTGCACTCGAGATGGGCCATGCTTGGCGCTGCTGGAATCTTCATCCCCGAAGCTCTCACCAAGCTCGGAATTCTCAACACTCCTTTCTGGTACACTGCTGGCGAGCAGGAATACTTCACTGACCAGACCACGCTCTTCATCGTGGAGATGATTCTTCTTGGCTGGGCCGAAGGCAGGAGATGGGCCGACATACTGAAACCAGGCTCTGTCAACACGGACCCCGTCTTCCCCAACAACAAGCTCACAGGAACAGACGTGGGATACCCCGGTGGATTCTGGTTCGATCCATTCGGCTGGGGAACTGCTTCGCCTGAAAAGCTCAAGGAACTCAGGACCAAGGAGATCAAGAATGGAAGACTTGCAATGCTTGCCGTCATGGGTGCCTGGTTCCAAGCTGTATACACTGGTGCACGTCCGATTGACAACCTGCTGGCTCATCTCGCCGATCCTGGACATGCAACGATCTTCTCGGTAAGAAACAACCCAAAAGAGAGGAGAGAAAACGAAAATGGTACTCACGTCAATGTTTTGTTCTGCAGGCATTCACGAGCCAGTAAAAAGTCTCTCTTTTGCGCGTATAACTGTATGTGCATATAGACCCCCTTCGGTTTCAATGGTGATCAAATTGCCTTTAGTTCGAACGCCATTCTTGCAAAAATGTACACAGCTTGTATTAGACAATATATATCCAGAATAACGAGTTGTTTCTCTTAGATTGTGCCGTTCATGGCTTTCATGATGGTCGCTTCGAATGATTTTGTATCCTGGCAGTGAAAAATTAAGAACCACAAATAGTCGAGAAAATTGCTTACCATTGCTCCGGAGCACGAGAACTTTCCGTTGAAGAGAAATGACGGAACCGAATGCAAGCCCATCTTTCCCTTTGCAAGCTTATCTTCTTCGAGAACTTCGCGTTTTCCTTCTCCAGATTCCTGTTGGATAACACACAAAGATTAGAAAACACAAGGCTTAAAAAACAAATATAAGAACTACCAGATACTCGCGAACGTTTGGCAAGCCGAGCTTTTCTCCAGCCGATTTCAGGACCTCCAAATCCGATATATTCTGGCCTTCTTCGTAAGTCAGCGTGAAAAGAAGCTGTTCTGCCTCGGCAGCTTTGCCTACAGTGTCCGCCAACCTCACAAGCCTGAATTCAAAGGTTAAAACTGCTAGAAGTTTCTTCCCTACTTGCCTGTGTCCATGCAAAGAATTCGGCCACCACTTCCAATTCTCAAATACAGCTCCATCCTTGGCACCTGACCTGAGGTAATTTTCTATCGATTGTCACGGGCTTCGCTATCTCTGTCCAAGAGAACTTACCTTCTCAAAGAAGTAGTCCAGGAATCCGAGCCCCATCTCCTTCGATTATAAGCCAGATACTCCTCTCCAGAGGGATTGGTGCTGTGATCAATAATGTATGGATGCCTAGAAAGAAATTTCTTCCAGTGAGGTAGCATCCACAACAAAATGCGCATCGTGGCGTACCATTTCACCGACGCAATCTTTGCCCCTCCAGCAGCCGATTCCACATTCTTTATGGCACGATCCAAGCGAACCTATCGCGAAATCCCAAGCACATCGGTCGAAAATCCGCGCAAACGAGCTGGATTCTTCACAATACCTTGCCGACATAGCACCAGGGGCACGAAATATCGCTCCAGACATCGATCTGGACGGCCGGCATCGGCGAAGAGCGATCGCGTGGCGCCCCGGGCAGAGCCATGGACTAAAAGAACTTGGGGATATGTTTATTACCTAGGCTAGAGCAAGAACCCTAATTTCTGGGATGGAGAACAGGGGCATGAGGCTGCGCGTTCGTGCCGCTGGCGGTGGCGCCACACATCGCATCCAGGTACCGGCACCAGCAAGAATCTACGATCTCCGCCACGCGCTCTCCCAGACGATTGGCGTGCCGGCGGATAGCATCCGGCTCTCGCTCAACAAGCGCGACGAGATAGAGGGCGACGCGTCGGCGCCGCTGGAAGCGTATGGAATTCGCCCCGGGGATCTTCTCTACTACTTCGATCGGGACCTAGGTTTCTCGGGTTCACGCACAGGTGAGGCGGTTTCAAGGGAAGTGGAAAGGAGGGAATTGTGTGCCTCGGCAGCGGATAAGCGTGCTCGAGAGCAAAAGGCTGCTCTTGCGGAGGAATCCTCGGCGACAAGGAGTAGAGTTGAGGCTGTGGATCGAAATGCCGGGCAACCATCGCCGCCGCAGGTCGAAGAACAACGTCGAATGGAAGAGGAGGCTGTGAATCGAGATGTCGAGCAAGAGCAAGGATCGGAGGAACGATCCATGGAAGGGGAAGAGGAGGAAGTCCGGAACAAGTACTGTCACCTTATCCCAAATCTCCTCTCGAGGCTTTTGTCCGTGGAAGGCAAGAACGTGGGGAATTCGCGAGACCTCTTGATCTTGGCGGTCCACGCAGTGATGCTCGAGACTGGATTCGTGATTCTGGGCCGCCCGACAATTGCTGGAGCTTCCTCGATCAAGTATACTCTTCCAGAGCTCGGCCAGCTCAAGAACGATGAGGCCAGAGTTCTTCTCCGGTGTCAAAGCGTTGGAGAATTCATGGTTGTCTACGGCAGCGTCCAGGGATCGTCTCAGATCTTCCGCCTTAGCCTCTCCATCTCCAAGTTTCTGGGAGAAGTTCTTGTGGAAGGAGAATCAAAAGGTGGTGGTGGTG